CAGTGTTGTGACATTTCCTGAAGTCTGTTCTTTAGAATGAAGGGAAGGGGGAAAGAGCTGTTTCCTAATAAAAGAAGTTGGATTAATATAGTTAGTAATAAAACAGCAGCCTGCAATTGCAGATAAGGTAACACATTGGATTTTGGAATTTAACCAAGAGTGCTTCTGTCTTCAGGACCCCTAAAATCTGGAACACAGAGGAAAAACAGCTAAAGGGCTCATGACAGTCACACTATTGGCCTAGTATCAGTTTGTGATAAATGTATCCTGTGTGAGAAAAAATTGTATATTGTTATTGGGCAGATTCATTAGAACAGTGCTCTCTGATATTAATACAAATATAAGCCACATGTATAATTTTAAATTTTCTAGTAGCTACACTAAAAGTTAAACAGATGAAGTTAATTTTAATAATATATTTTATTTAACTCAGTATGTTCAAGATATTCTACATGCAATTACTTTTAAAAAATCATTTATGTTTATTTTTATTTCTTTTTGTTATTAAGTCATTAAAATCTAGTATGTATTTTATACTTATGGCACATCTCAATTTGAGACCAGCTATGTTTCAAGTACTCAATTGCTACATGAAGTTAGAGGCTGCTATAATGGACAGGTAGTTTTATTGTGCTTTTAAGCACTTTCACCTTTTTTGCATGGGACATGTTAAACACTTTAAGCCGTTTCCATTTGCATAATAGATACTAATAATAGATTATTAGTATCATCTTTATTCTGAAGAAATGCCTTTTAGTTAGTATCGTGAGCATTGATTACAGACCTTGAAAAAAATTACTGGTTAACTTTTTTTCCTCTGTAAAATGGTATTAATACTGATTTTGAAAAAAGGAAAACAAATAGATTCCATTGTTTGAGAGCTGTCAGACAACTTAAATATGTAGTATTGTTTAATCTTCACCACAGATCTACGATGTAGATATTGTTTGCGTTTTGGCTAGGAGGAATTTGAGCTTCAGAGAGGTCAGATGAACTACTCAAGGTCACACACAGGTAAAGAGGGACAGTGCCAGGACTTGACCATGACCCACTGCTGTTCATCACCACATCTAACCATTTTCGCACGTGTCTCAATTCTCACAGCTGTTGCTGTGAACAGTGACAGTAACAATGGTTAACGCCTTATAAATTATACACACTTCTTCAGAAATAATGTCAGAATGAAAATGACAGTTTCAGTATCATCACTAATGACAGTTGGAAGAATGCATTTTTCTAGTGTAGAGAGGGTACCAGGCTTATTTTGCCTCTTTGACGACAGAATTCATCATTTATCCCAATTACCAGAACAACTCTTAATTTTTAGCAAATGGCTGAGGCCGAGTGCCTGTTCTCTAGATTAAACTACCTGCTTACCTCCTGTGATTGTAAAAGGCTTAGTAAGGCTTATGATCAGAAGGTTCAAAGTTCTCTACTAGATCATCTGAAAATGGGTCTGTGCTACAATAAAAGAAAAATAATGTTGGAAGCTCAAAATATAGGGCTAGAGCAAGATTTTCTTTTTTCTTCACCATTTCTAAATTTTGTTGAAAATGGATTTCAGTTTTACATTTTTATTCTTTTATTGGAACTTTTAAATTCTCCCCATTCTTAATTTATTTTGTGAAGTGCTTTTCAAGCACCTCCCTGTCTTTCTATCCATTGTCACTTTTCTCTCTCTTTTTTTTTTCTTTCTTTTTCCCTCTTTTTGCCTGGGACGAGTTGTGAATAAGATGGACAAATCTCTCTCTCTCTCGGCATATATTTTTACTCATCCTTTTATAGTGTGCTTCCCTTAGGGATTTTTGGTTTTTAAAGGACTTTTAAACCTATGCCTTAATTTTCTTCTTTCTACACTTGACCTCAATTATACTATTTTACTATTTTTTAATTTCTCTTGTTATTGTCACTAGTAATTGCATCCATTTTTCCTCCTTTATTCTTCTTTTGTAAAACTTGCATTTCATTATAAAAACTGTAATTGTTTAGATGGGTCAAATTCTAGTAAGAAGGTAAATTTTTCTAAGTATAAGCCTTTTATGATATTCTCCAGTATCTCATGTATATGTGCTGCAGAACAAACCCTATTATCATACATTCCTGGTTAATACTGTTTTATTTTATAAATGACCACAAAGGTTTTTTTGTTTTGTTTTGTTTTGTTTTTAATAGGTGATGACAGTAGGGGATTGGTGCGTGCTTTTTGTAAGAAGTTATTACTGTTGTGTCAGTTAACAATTGCTTCCTTCAATCACTGAACCAAAATGTTTAGGAACTATTTCAGTAATTGACAGTTACAAAACTTAAGCCCCTACATGTTATAGATCCCTGTGCTTTCATGTTATATTTCATATCTAACTGAACAGTTAATACTATTTTTAAAAGTTAATAGGATCTTAAGTTTTTTCAGTTGACCATAGACTTGAGAAAGATATATAGTTTCTAAGTAATGGAGACTTGATAGCTTATGGAGCAATTGGATTCATTTAAAGATCTTATCTGTGATTCCCAGATGTGTGACACTCAGATGTTGACATTAGGAACTGCACATGGATTTTCAGCATCGAAACTTATGTACACACAGGTATTAGTGGTGAAGTAGCTTATGGCACCATGGACTATATGGCCTTATGTGTGCATATGCTTAAATCATTAGAAATAAAAATCTACCTACTTCCTTGGGCAAAGATTATATGCCAGCATGTACGAGGTAAAAGCTCTAAATGAGGGCTATTCCTTGCTGGTATGGACTCTCATGAATTAGTCCTATAAAATGCCATTATGCTTGCTTAGGAAGGTTTTACAACTCCTTTAACTACATTGAGGGCAGGAGGGATGTCAGACTTGTTCTTACTTGTATCCCTGCAGCCACTGGTGGTGATACCTGGCACGTAGTAGGTGTTCAGGGAATAAATCCTGGATATATGAATGACTACAAAGATAATTTGGGGCCAGGTGTGGTGGCTTATGCCTGTAATCGCAGCACTTTGGGAGGCCAAGGCAGGTGGATCACCTGAGGTTAGGAGTTCGAGACCAGCCTGGCCAACATGGAGAAACCTCATCTCTATTAAAGGTACAAAAATTAGCCAGGCGTGGTGGCGGGCACCTGTAATCCCAGCTACTCAGGAGGCTGAGGCAGGAGAATCGCTTGAACCCGAGAGGTGGGAGAGAGAGAGAGAAAAAAAATCGCCATTGCACACCAGCCTGGGCAACAAAAGTGAGAGAGAGAGAGAAAAAAAAGATAATTTGGAGGATATCTAATTTATATTATTCACTATATGTTCTATATATATTTGGGAATGAACTTGGTAGAAATAAATAAGCATTTCATGTACCAGTAATGGTCACAATTAAAAAATATATCTTGCAAGGCATTGTGTAGCTATCCTAAATCATCTTCTTTGTTTAAAAAATCAGTCTGCTCCACCCATATCGTATATTTTTAAATAAATCTGCACCATGGAGAGTGTATTTGCAATGGACAGTAATACTGCTTTCTTGTTCTCAGGAGTGAACACTGAGTTGTCTTGTGTATGGTATGGTTTGACTTGTTAGGCTGTTGTGCAGTCTTAATAATAATTACCGTGATCTTTAATGATAACAATTCTTAATGAGTATTATTATTGTTAATAAGGATTATATTTAATAATTACACCTAATACTTATTATCTTTAATAATAATAATTAGCACATGGGAACCAGTTGCACCATTGTATTATCTTGAGAACAAATACCTCAATCTGTAACCCAGTAGTTTGCAGAGTATCTGCTCCCACCCTTGGCTTTCCAGATCAGAGTGAGTCAGGAGGCTTCTAGGGTTGAAGCCACAGGGAGGGGGTTCTGGAAAACTCCTGTGCATTCTATGTGTCAGGCCATACTCCCATCTAGTCATTTCACACAGAGGTCTTCTTTTTGTTGTGAAGTACCTTCACCATGACCATGTAACTTTCTACCTCCCCCGTCTGCCTGCTCACCCATTCTTCATAAGTTTTAATTTTTCTTGCATAAAAAGAAGACCTGTAACATACTAATTTGTGTGAATTACATTAGGCAGGGTCCATGTTTATTACTCGTACGCTGGTAAAACTTTGATCTTCTTCTGCCTTGGTTATGTTTAGATTTAAGTGCCTGTATGACTTTTTAAAAATAAAAAACAGTTTAAAAAAATCTTTGGTGAATTAAACATTTTTTAGCTTTTCACACTTTGATACAAAGCAGAGAAATATTTCAGTGACAACAGATTTCAACAGATTTTCAACTAGACTAATTTGCTTTATTCTTTAGGGTAGTTTACTTATTTTCTCTGAAAACACAAGAAGAGATACTCCCTTTCCAGTAACTGATGTTAATGTATAAAATAATTTTACATAGGCAAACTTTTGTATTTGGATGTATATTTTGACATAAATGTAAATTAAGACGTTTATGGTCATGTTATTTTCAGGCTAGTTGGTAACCTATTTACTAGGATTTAAAAAAACAACAACATGTAAGAGGGACTTATTTTAAATTTCTATTGACTTTCTTGTATTCACATAACAGCTTAGGCCTTAGAATCAAACATACCTCCTTAGTAGGAAGGAGCTGGAAGCTTTGAAATATATATCTAGACAAGAAAATATATTACTTGTACATGTAATATATTTCTAGACAAGAGCAGATCTGATCTGAAAATACTAGTGCTAAAAGTTAATGATAAAACTATAGACATTAAGTATCTGTACGGTCACCTTCATCTTACCTATGTACCAGGACACCTCTGATTGGTGAAAATGACAGGAATCTAAGGGCTTCTGCCACTGCCCCGGGCAATTCTGTAATAATAGAGGGGGAAAACCCACAGCTTTCCATTAGGCCTATATGACTGAGAGGCTTGTTTAATCTAAACCACTGTCGATCACAGATGAGTGACTTTTATAACTGTCGCTTCCCTTCTCATCGCAGTGACTGAGATTTGCTTTTTAATGTTTGTGTTTTGCTCTTGAATTTTGTCCCTTCAGGTTTGATGATTCCTGTCTTTTGTGTCGTGGAGCAGTTGGACGGCTCTCTTGAGTATGACAACAGAGAAGAACACGCTGAGTTTGTCCTGGTGCGGAAAGATGTGCTTTTTAGCCAGCTGGTGGAGACTGCGCTCCTGGCCCTGGGGTATTCTCACAGTTCTGCGGCTCAGGCCCAAGGTATTAATGCCTCTCCCCTCTCCTCCCAAGTCTCTTGTGTGTCATAATTTGAGGAGGAATATGTTTTCTGAAATAGTTCTCCAAACAAAGGTTGAAGGATAATTGTTAGACTTAGCATTTCCTAGTGAGCAGTAGAATATTTCTTGTAGAAGGACTTGTTTCTTGTTTTCTTGTTGTTTTGGGAAGCATTTGACCAGCACTTCTGGAGCCACAAAATCAACTTGCATTTCAAACTGATCATAGATTTTTGCATTCATAACACTGTTATTTTCTCTAATTAGAGGCAGTGCTGAAATATTTAACTCCTGAGTTATCCAAACTTACAATACATGACTTATAAAGCATTCAGTTTTCCAAAATTTATTTATTGCTTTTGGAAAGAAGCCTGTGGCTTCTGCACTTTGTGATAAGCTTTTAATTAAACAACAAAAAAAAATGGATGCCTCTTATCCTTTTGTATCTTTGAAAACTTTTGTAATTTTGATGCGGTCCATTCAGTTAAAAAATATTGCAGTGTCTTTATGATCAATTCCTTTCACTTATTTAATTAAATATTAAAATTGCATCATTATTTCAGTGTGTATTGTACAATACTGGGGAGCCCATTGTGAGCTTCTGTTGTTTCATTTTGAAGTATAGCCCATTGTTCTTTCATGCCAAAGAATTGACAAAACAAATAACAAAAATTCCCCCCAAACCTTGAGTAATGGAAAAAAAAAAATTGATCTGATGGAATTTATTGTTCTTGTTTTTCAGCTGAAATGATTGAATTGTATTGTTTATGATTATGGTTATAACCAAAGGAGAGAAATCCGTAACTTCCAGATCTTAGTTTATATATTAGTATCCTGGATTACTGTCTTTAGTTAACATTTGTGAATATGCCAAGGATGTTTTTTATTTTTTAAAATGAGTTTCTCTTCATATCATTCCTAAGAACTATCAGTCAGAGCCTCATTTATAACAATAAGGATACTATGAGAGATTAAATATTGATATAAAGTTACAGATGTGGTGACCAACGGATTTAAATTCCCAAGCTCTTGAATTTGATTCTGTAAGTAGATGATTGCTTTTTAGGAAATATTTTAAGCATTTAAGTTATACTTTAGTTCAATCAAGAAAGCAACCTGATTGAAATTAGGAATGTTTTCCCAGGGCAGGTAGTACCCTATTAGTTATTGTGTATCCCAGCACAGTCTGAATCCAAGCGCTGGCCAGGCTGGGCGCAGTGATAATAGCTGAATCATAGAGTCCAGTGCTTTCAAAGCAGCCTGATAAAGGATGATTCATTTCCTTTTTTCTGACAACTTTCCTTCTTGTGTGAGGGATTCACGATTTGATCCTGAGCAAATTGCATACTGGGCACCATTGCTTCTATGTCATGCTATGTACCTAAATGAAATAAAAGAATCTCCCTTCCCTTCCCCCCACAAACTTTTCATGCCACTTTAGGGATATTTTTCTCTGAATGTAAAGGTCATTGTATCCCACTGCTTGCACCCTGGTGTGCCAGCTTCCTGTTTGACAGGGCCATCCATCTCAGTTAGCACAGCCGTTCAGCGCGTCGAGAGCTCACATGTGGAACACAGAGCACTAAGTGGCCAAGATTTGATTCTTGGCACATGCTGAGGGAAGGGGCTCTCAGGAAATTTGCACTAGGGAGCCACACTATTCCTTTCAGGGATTTGGACTAAGAATTCTACTCACCAAGGTGAGATATATGAGCAGATAAATGTCATCTACCGTGGAGGATTATTAAACAGGGAACAAGTCAAAAGTGATTATTTGCCTCCTCAAAGTTTTTGAATATTAAGGCTAAAATGCTAAATATTATACTATTTATAAGTTGAATCAATATTCCTATGGTACTCTAGAGTACAGATACACTTTATAGGTAAGCAAATATTTTATCACTCGGTCTTATACTGTAATCTCACAAAGGGAAAAAATCAGTTTATTTTAAATTAGGCTGCCGATCTGTGTTTTGGGGAAATGGAAAAAACTTAGAATTGTTTACTTTGAAATAAATGTATTAGATCATTGTCTTCATTCAGATCATTAAAAGTATGCGGTTTGCTGCATGTTTATTATAGACCAAATAGTATGCATGGTAAGACAGGTAATTCATATGCTGGACAAACAGCAGCGTGTAAGAAAGAAAGAAAAGGAAGTAGAACAAAATATGACTTTTGATGACTGAAGGCATGAGGTTTTATGGGGGTAGTTTTTTGTTCATTTTTGTTTGGCTTTGTTGTTCGTTTCATGTTTATGTAATTCCTCTAAGATGAGGACTTGCGGGACTTCCTGGCAAATCCATTTAAAGCAAAGAAACGGCAGTGTTCTTGAATCTCTTTTTCGTATGCTGGAAAGGTTGGGCAGAACTAAACTGCAAAGATAGTGGGTTGCTTTAGCCATTTTAAAAATCAAGACTCTTGAAATACAATTTTTCATTTTGATGTGACCAGAAAAGAGTTTCGGTAATTGAATTGGAAGAATATTTCAGATTGCCTGTAAAGGAGGAAATACATTAGCAATGTCATTATTTGGAATGGTCCTCAAGTCCCAATGACAGGGCAGCAGGTCCATGATCTTGTAAACATAGGATAGTCATTTTCTTTTTCTCAGAGGGTATTCCCTCCAGGTGAGTTGAATTTTTAGTAAGAAAGAATATTTGCTTCTAAAGAATGATAGAAATTCTACTAAAATGGGGTTTAGGGATTTCTTTCCCTGTGTTAAAATAACCTTTATTTGAAGGCTAGATATCAGGACCTAAGAGAGAATAATGTAGAATGATACTGTTATAAACCATGGTAACTGTGTTTCTAGCTGACCCATAACCTCCATTTCCCAGTGCACATACTGTTAACTCTGATTCTCAAGGATATGAAATGCAGGATTCATCAGACTTGCTGTTTTGCATATGTAGAAAGCCGAAAACTGGCAGGCCCTTTGCTTGTACCAGAATAGCTGGACTAAGGTCTAATGAATGGCAAGCGCACTTTATACTATATGTATGATGGGCCGTGAGTACATGTCTCTGCATTAAAGGTCTTTTGGAAGAGGCATGTTAATCCAGGGTACTGCTGCTACTCTGGGAACTGCCCCATTCTCCCAACCTGGGAACTGCCCCATTCTCCCAACTTAAAACTCACCACTTCCTTTACTATTCTTTCTTCTTTCCTTTTCATCCTTTCAGTTCTTCCCCATAAGGCTTTTGGCAGTAGCCATGGAGCTCCCTACACTGTCCAGAGAGTTCTGGAGCCCACTGGTTGAGTAGCTATTCATTCATGTTGGCAGTGTGAATGGTGGGCTTTGGGAGGCAGCCGTGATGGCAAGGTGATGCCTCACTGTGCTTGTTTGATTTAATTTGTAATTGGGCATTTTATCTCTCCCCTACTTTCTGTTAATTTTAAAATACGTTTTAAAATTAACTGTTGATTAATTAAATTAATTTATTTATTTTGAGGGAGTCTCACTCTGTCACCCAGGCTGGAATGCAGGGGCGCAGTCTTGGCTCACTGCAACCTCTGCCTGCTGGTTTCAAGCGATTCTCCTGCCTTAGGCTCCCAAATAGCTGGGATTACAGGCGCCTGCCACCATGCCTGGCTAATTTTTGATTTTTAGTAAAGATGGGGTTTCACCATGTTGGCCAGGCTGGTCTTGAACTCCTGACCTCAGATGATCTGCCCACCTCGGCCTCCCAAAGCATTGGGATTATAGGCATGAGCCACTGTGCCCAGCCGACAATTTTATTTTAAAACAAATGTGCTTAACAAATAAAGAAGCAAAAATCCTTTCTGAATGGATTTTTTTAAGGTCAAAATTATATGTTTAAGAAGGGTATATTAATTGTCACTGTTTCTTATTTATATTGGAGTAATTACATTCATGCAGTCATTTTAAATGATGTTTCTAAAACACAGAAAAAGTGTCTTTAATAAATGTTATGTGAATCAAGCAGGGTGCCAAGTACATTCTCAATGATATAAAATTCCACATATATGCATGGAAGAAAGACAAAGGCAATGTATTAAAAAAAAAAACAGAGTAGGTGATGGGATTATGTGGGATTTTCTTCTTTTTCTAATAAAAAAAGTAAATATCAAATTTTACTTCTTTCATGAATTAATTGAATAAATGGGAAGATAATTATGTCTATCTTATTCCCCAATTTTGATAAGCTGTTCACTTTATCCCTAATTTATCCATAAATGTGAAAATTTATACATGATACAGATGCATTTCTATTTTTTCAGTGGAAGTTTAAAAAAAGAATCAATAAATCATTAATGAGCCCCTGTGATGTATAAACCAAGGGATTTCTTCGAGTTGGTTTTTTACTTTTTGAGACAGGGTCTTGATGTATATCCCAGGCTGCAGTGCAGTGGCACAATCATGGTTCACTGCAGCCTTAAACTTTTGGGCTCAAGCAATCTTCCTGCCTCAGCCTCCTGAGTAGCTGGGTGGCCCTGCCACCATGCCCAGCCTAATTTTTACTTTATTTTTTGTAGAGAGAAAGTATCCTTATGTTGCCTTAGGTGATTCTCCTGCTTCAGCCTCCCAAAGTGTTGGGATTAAAGGTGTGAGCCACGATGCCCAGGCAATTCTTAGAGCTTTAATATAATGCATGGTAACAATTGAACAGTTACTATATGTTGGGCACTGTTCTAAGAGATTTAAATGTACTGACTCATTTAATTCTTATAACAGACTTTTGAAGTAAGTTATACATTTCCCATTTCACAGAAGAGGAAACTGAGACAAAGAAGAGTAGGGGAGTCACTTTCCCAGAGGCACAGGCTGGTGGGTGGAAGAACTGAAATCTGAAGTCCATTGATCTATCTCTAAATTCAAGGTCCTTAACCACACAGCTGTCCTGTGAAAAGTCTGATTGCCAGCACTTGCTCTTTACTTTTGGACATAAGCCCTAAAAGGTAGGACTTTTTGCATTAGGTGATTACTAAATACATGCTGATTATATATATTTGATAATGATG